TTTTAAAATAAATGGTTTGTATCTTTATTGAAAGGTGTAAATCACCTTCAATTTACAAATTAAAAAGATTTTTAAATATAATTTTCCCCCTTTAAAATTTGGTTTTAAACCTAAATTAATTTACTTTGGGTACTATTTACAAAAGTGACGGATGAGTGATGATGAAATGTTTCTTCTTTTATGGGTCCCCCTTTTAATCAGTGGGAAATGACCATGTTTTTAAAAAGGGGATTTTAAAATATATTAAACCCTTCCACATAAAAAAGGAAGATTGAAACAGGTAACACAGAAGCGGGCAAAAATTTTTTCTTTTTCAGTTACCATTTTATTTCCCAAGTTTGGGTTTGAAATTTTTAAGTAAATACGGGGGGCCCCCCATTTAAAACAGCGGGTTAGGTTTCGGGGTACTGCGGGGGAGCAAAAATAGTTTGAAAAAGTGAATCACAGCCTTTTTTTACTCTCAAATGCATATAATACGGTAACATTTTAAAATATCAAATATTAAAGTGAGTATATAACTAGGCCTAAAAAAATGCATAAAATTTTATTTTTTTTTTTTTTCAAAAAGGGGTTCCAGCCATCTCCCACCGAGGCAGGGTGCCCCCAAAAAAGGAAAGATTAACCCCAAAAGAAAAAAATTCCCATCACATTCAACACTTTCACCTCACACATAATACACTTTTGGGCGGGAATCCCCAGTTTGCAACTTTTAAAAGCAATAAAAAAGATAAATAACATACCCCTCCAAAAACCAATACCCCAAACCCTTCTTTAAAAAGTGCAGGTATTGTATTTTCCCATTACAGGTCCCAAAGGTCCAGTATATAAAAAAAAACGGGGTTTTCCCCGGGACCCCCCTTCCCCTAAATATTCCCCCTGCTCACACTCCAACAGCTCATCCTTAGCCATAATGAGGGGGTGCCCTTTTTATTGTAGGAATTCTGAATAAATGAAGAATGGAAAAAATTTTGAAAACATCTGTATTAGTGAAATCCCTCTAAAGTGGGGCCCCCCCGCCTTGTAATTTTCCCCTAATAGTTGTTTTTTTTTAAAAAATGCATCTATTTGTACAACAGTTGCTGTTATCAAAAGGGGGGGGAATGACCCTCTTCGCAGGTACGGTGCACGCCCCGGGAGACGAGGCAAGTGTGATTTGATAAAAGTTTTTACTCCCTGAAAAAAGGCAGTAATTTAAAGTGTATTTCGAGGATGAAGCCTGAAAGTGGTCCCAACCCTGCTGAAGTTTTAAAGGTTTAGTGGGGTCTTGGCTGTATGCACTGGGCAGAGATGGATAAAAATTTAAAAAATGAAAATGCGGGGACCTGGAAAATGAAGCTACTGCTTTTCACAGGGGGCTCCTTGACTTAGGTTGGTTTCAGCTCGGGCTTTTCTACTTTACAGCGGTCCCAAAAGCAATTACATATTTTTGGGATAAAACCTGAGAAAAATTACCCAGCATAAAGGGGGCAAGACCATAATTTGTATTCATTTGTTTATTTCCAATCCCACTGTACGGGTTTTTAGTTCAATAAAATTTTTTTCTTGACTTATTTAGGGGACAGTATTATTTTTTTACTTATTTAGCATATAATATTCATATTTCCAAAAGATATTTCAACTTACAAGGGGTTTTTTTTTTGGTCAGAAAAAAACCCCATCGTAAGTAAGGAACCCCTTTGTACAGAAATTTTAAAAGTCAAGGTGAAATCCTTCAGTTAGAAATACAATTTTTTCTTAAACAAAGACACTTTTTACCATTCAAAATTTAATTAACATTTTCAGATTCCTTTGGGGGAAAAAAATTGGGTTACATCAACTGCTGGAGCATTCTCCACAAAAACCCGGTAGGGGAAAAGAGGATTTCAGGCTAAAACAAGGTTAAAAAAAACTAAAACCCCAAGAAACCTTAATTTTTGAAAAGGAAATTTTTTAAATATTTGTTTTAAATACCCTGTAACGGGGCCGGGTGGTTAACGCTCTCGTTTACAGGGTAGGGCCGGGGTTTCCCGTTTTCCCACCAGAAAAAAAACATTGGAGTGTTTCTTTCCCCCTGTTGTTATTTTCCCCCATCAGAAAAAAATGGGTACCTGGGTTTTTAGCCCGACGGGTGTGGGTCGAATCCGGGGGACACGGACCTAAGGAGGCCTGGTCCCCCAAGCCCGGGGCCCCGGGGGGGGCGTTGACCCCCGGAACTCCCCTCCAGAAAAACTCCAGTTTAAACAGTACCACTACTTATGTTGTGGAGGGGGGAAGTTTTAGTGCTTGTACAGTATTTAAAAAAGTGTGTAAAAAATTTAAATTGGAGTACGTACAAGCTCAAAGGAGTACTGTAAGGTATTAACTCGGAATGGAATTTTTTCTTCACTGTGGGTTCAGAGTTTTCCCTAAATTTTTTAAAAGGGGGGTATTGAGACCCAGTCCTGGGGGTTTGGGAAAGGCAGTGCCTGCATCTGAAAGGGCAGTGCCTCCCCTTAAAAGAGGGGATGGGCTTGTTGTAGTTGGATTCCCAAACTGATTTGAGATGTCAACACACTTTGACAAGACAGCAGCAGTTAAATTAAAAATGATGGGAATGTGTTTTTTTTTGGGTTTTCCCATCCCTTTAATTAGAAAAGGCTGTTGAGGGGAAAAAAGAAAATCCGAGGGCCCTTTTGAAGTGTGAGGGAATACCTGGAAAAAGGGGTTTTGGGGGGTCAAGCCCCCACAGCCGGGTCGTGACAACTCCACTTTTTAAAAAAGAGAGCGTTGAATGGGTAATGGTGTAGTTTAAAAGACTCATGAACAAAAAAATTGGACAAAATTTTCAAAAAAGTTTCAGTCCTGGGCCCAGCGTTAAAGGTCCCAGGACCAAAAATTTTCAAATTTAAATTTGTGTCTTAGTGTTTTTTTCAACTTTTTAAAAACCTTTTAATCCGTATTTTTTACCGAGAAATAGTATACGTGTTTTCTTTTTTTGGGGGGGCCCTTCCGGGGGGGGGAATGGCCATGTGATAAAAACAAAAATACAGTGGACCCCCCCCAAAACGTTACCTCCGAATGCGCCCAAATTTAAATGTAAGTTTTTTTAAATAAGTCGTTTGAGGGTGTATTTTGGGGGGGTCTAAAATGGAAAATCTACTTAAACAATTTTCCTTGGGAATAAATTGGGTCATTTACTGGCCCCCGAACATCTTAGGGAAAGTGAAAAAAATCTTTAACCCGGGGGGCCCCATGTACAGTGTGCTTTGTCTCGACAAGAGGTCTAAAAAGGGGGCCCAAAACCCCTCTGTCATTCAAAAACAAATGTTGGGTCAAAATTTTCTTTTACTTCAAAAGGAAAAAAGTCAAAAATAAAAAATTTTTTTCAAAAAAATTTTCATAAACTTTGATATCCATATTTGGGAATTTAATTCAGCAAAAGGGGGGTTAAGTGTTGGTAAAAATTAAAATTAATTCTTCAAATTAATTTAAAAAATTTTTACCCTAAATATTTTTAAATGTATTTTTTATTTCAACTTTTCAATTATTGTTTAGTACAGTGGACCCCCGTTTAACGATCACCTCCGAATGCGCCCAATTATGTAATTGAAATTTATGTAAGGGGCGTTGTACGTGTATTTTTGGGGGTCAAAAAATGGACAATCTCCCTTCACAATATTCCTTAGGGGAAAAAAAATTCCCGGTCAGTACGGGCACTGAACATACAAACTGGAATAAAAAAGTTCGTTCCCCGGGGGGTCCACTGTCCCTTTGACAAAAGGGGTCCTGAATAAACAGAAAACTTTTATGTTGTCAGTAAAAAGTTCCTCTTTTGGGGATGTTCATGAAATCTGTTTGTCGGGCCAGAGGGGAAATTTAAAAAGGGACCTAAAAATTAATAAAATTTAATAATGAATTTATTTCCCAATAGATACATTTGTTTGTTAATATTATTAAAAGGGGTCGGGCCCCAAGAGTTATCCAAAAAAACTTCGGGCCCAAAACTTAAGTTTGGTTTAAAATATAAAAATAGACAAAATAGAGCTGTGTTTCCACTAGGGCCTTTGGGCAACCAGAAATTAAAATGAATGATGGGGGAAAGTGTTTTTCTTTTTCAGGTCACCCTCCCCTTGGGGGGGAGCTGTTTTTTTTAAAGTAACATATCAAAAGTAACTTTTTTTTT